GGTATATCAGGAGCTTCGATTTGGAGCAGACGGAGAGGGGATACGAGACGGCGAGTGCACATTGCACATTTCGGGCAGCATTTCGGGCGCGCCAACATTGTGCGAAAGCTGGTATAAAACCTGCAAGCACTATTTTATGGGTATTATCGCGTCCGTATGCACTTCACTGGACTACGTAACTGTAAACCTGCGCACAACACCGTCCCCGCTTTGACCATGCCGGCGAGGAGAGCTCGTCAAGCCGGGCCATCGGTGATTTCGGATCGCAGCAGCCGAGCCTCTTTGCCAATGCTCCTACGAGCGCGCATTGCAGAGTGCCGTTACAGCCGACAACAACCTGGACTGGATTGCGTCCTTCCTCAACATCGCAGACCAGTGACGCGGCGCCTTGATGTAAACAAGTTGAATGATGAACTCGGAGGTGGTCACGGATGGTAGCACCCACGAATCTTGAGGTGAAGCGACGTTGCGTAGAGACGGTGGGGGTTTCTTGAAGGACGGCGACTTGGTATACGTTTCTCGTCTTGCGGTACCTGGCTTCCTCATCGCGACGTCCTCAGCGTCTATCGAGGGTTCCACTGCTCGTACCGACTCATTTAGCGCGATTCGCCACGCATTTTCGGAATTTTGACGTCGAGCGATGGTTTAAGAACTTCTGATTGGCTCTTATGAGCAGCGTCGAGCGGATTCTAGCCAATCCCATCGCTTCTCCAGAAAATACGGGCAATGCATGGTGCAATGTGACGTGGTTGCGTCGACCACCGCACAGAATGAAGACAGGACAAAGAACGTCTGAAATAATAGTAGAATAGTAGTCTAATAGCGCTGCAGCTGGGCGCGAAGCTCCTTTAAAATAAACTCGATCGTTGGGCGCGTTGCCGGGCTTAGCGCGAGGCAGAGCGGCCCGACGTTGGCGAGCGGACTCGTCGGTGCAAAGTGGGCTTGCACTGCGTACGCCGACGGCGGAAGGGCGCCGTGGACCTCGAGCTCGTAGAGCAGCATCCCAAACGAATAAATATCGGCTGCGACCGAGTACTGATGGCCAGCCACGACTTCGGGGGCGTTCCACGGCGTCGCGTCTTGTCGCGGACCGCCCATTTCGATCGTCGGCGTGAGCCAGCCAAAGTTGGACACCTTAGCGTCGCCGATTTGGTTCAAGAACACGTTGGCCGACCGAAGGTCCCGGTGCGTAATGTCCTTGGCGTGCAAATAGTCGAGCGCTTGGGCAACGTCGAGTGCATACAAGAGCTTTTGGCTCCACGCCACGTCGCTATTCGGTGTGCGCTCGAGGTATTGCTGCAAGGTGCCGCCGTCCATGTGCTCGAAAATCGCATGGAAGGCCGTCGTGTCGGTCCACGCAACGCCCCGTAAATGGACAATTTGCTGGCACGATAACCTAGCACAAGTTCGTCAACTCACGACAATAATCCCCACAAAACGTACTTGATGCGCAAGACGAGCTGGCCCACAAACACGGTCGACTCGTAGCCTTTGATGCCGCGCCACTGCTTGACGTGGACGAGCTCGCGGCGGTACGTGGCGGCGTAGCTGGTTTTGTGCTCAATCTTCTTTTCGCGCGGAAGCACCTCGAGCGCCTCGATACGCCACGGCAAGAGCGCCTGCAAGTCGTGCTGGATGTTCTCTTGGGTCGTCATGAAGAGCGAGTCGCCGCCTTGGCTGCCGCGTGTGCGCAGCGTCTCCATGTACAGATCGTACGAGTCGTCTTCAATGTCGGCGAGGATCGCAACGGGCGACTTGGTACCACCGAGCTCGGGCTTCTCAAGCGACCGCTTCGGGCGTGATTGGCGCCGCCGACGGCCTTGCCACACCACGATGGCAGAGACAAGAAGCAGGGTCGTCACGCCGACGCCGACAAAGACCAATGTCGGGCTGACCTCTACGCGCGACATGAGTGGTGCGGACATGGAAGGTGGTGCGTACGGGCAGGCGGCGCGGTTGCCAAGGTTGTGACTTGGGGTCGCACGCTCCGCGGCGACGGTGACGGTGCTAGGAACGGCGCGGGCGTCGGCGCGGTGACGTCTTCGACGATGCGGATCAGTGCGGGTGGCGTCGTCATGTTGGTGTCGTTGAGTGCCGCAGAGACAGCGGCGACGAAAAGGGCCACGCAACGTACTACCCACATTGCTGGAAGAAGAGAAATGAATCCAACGCCGCGTCCGCCATCAGCTGTGGTACGATAACCAGATGTTTTGAATATGTTGCCGCCAGACGTCGGGTCCAGACTGTGCTGTATCATCAACTTCGATCGTTGTTGCGTCACACTGTGAGGGCGCCGTGAGCTCGGCATAGAGCTTGGAGCGCATGTCGGCTTTCTTTCGCAAGAGCCATACTTCGTACATATATATAGCGACACTGGTCAGCTGTACTTGTCGGCGCGACGACGCTGCGTCGACATAAATAGACTAGAAAAACGCTAGACGGGCGCATTAAAGACGCATTAACGACGTATTGTAATGCAACACAATGCGCAGAAGGGTGCTCGAGAGTAGCAGCCGCCGCGTCGCTGCGCTATTGGGATCGTTCGGCGCTCGCACGCGCCCGCACCCGACACGACAGCCTCCTCAGGTCTATATGTAAAAGCAACGTCGGTCATCAACTGACCCAATGGACATGCAATTGCCGGAAAGGCCACTGAAATCGAAGTTCGAACTTGGACAGGTCCACACCTGCAGAGGTACGGGTGTTCGAATTCAGGGTGGGATGCACGTGGCACAGTTGCAAAGCAACCCACGCGCCGACGTTGCTGTGCAGTTGTTGAGCTTTGCAGACGACGTCGCTGACAGACGCTACTCGAGGTCGCTGCTACAGGAGACACTCGCGTACCGCTCTCCGCCAGCTACTTTCTTAGTGCAGTAAGTTGCGGAGGCAGAGCACTAAGAGAAGGAGATCAAGTGGTCCGTAGGTCCCTTCCCACAAGCATTGCACGCGCTCAGCACGCGCTTGCGACTGGGACACCCTTGCGTTGTTTGTTTGCGGACGTATCCAAGAACGAAAGGGTGTCTGGCGCTGCATGCTTCTTTCCATGCACGCTTCTCGTCGCATAACTAATGCGTTGGTCTGGTGTGGAGACTCTACGTCAAGCAGTGGTGCGTGGCACTCGGATCGGCTGCGATACAGCGGGAAATCATTCCCAGTTGGGATCGCGTCCGAGTGGCGTGATCACTGTAGGCGCAGCATGTGACGAGAAGCAACGCATTCTTTCATTCTTTCCGATGATTTTACTTGGTCTGTCGACAGACAATGGTAAAAGGCGTGGCCACTGGTTGAAGGTGTAGCCGAAACATTCTGGTGTCTGGTGTCACCAAAAATATGCTGGAACATTAAGCAGAGACTGCCTACCGGCTTGGCACATCCCATGGCCCGAGAAGTTGCATCCCAAGCCTGCGTTTGCGTTGTAGCAGGTACGAGTCAGCGAAGTGTAACCATTATCATATCCGAGATCTCCTCCCTCTGGATCCCACCACAGTCGACTATCGATGAAGCATAGCCTCTCTTGGTCGACAAGGTGTCAGCAGTAGTGGTATGTTTATCGCACAAGATAGGTTTATGGCACAAGACATACTGTTGTTGAAATGCGTTATTCAAATGCAATTAGAAAGAGAAGGTGGACTTCCTAATGCGCTCGTGAGGCACGGCCGGTGCGTCAAGCGAGGGGCGTTACCGGAAGTGGTCGTGCCTCGGGATTGTGCGAGGGACAAGGATCGTCTCGGAGATCGTTGAGCGATGCGTCAAGCGATGGCACCAGGGCCAAGTGCCGGACATGCAGTCGCGTGGTAGTAGCTGCCTTGATCGCGAGCGCAGCAGCGGAAAGTGGCGTCAGCATCGTGCGGAAGACTCGGTCGGTGCGTTCAAACCAAAGGCAATACCAGACGCAAGCGCGTAAGATCAGCCAGAGAGCAAGCATGGACAACTTGTGATACAAGTACGGTGCAGCGACCCGACGACGGGAGTTTTGCATCGGCAAGAGATCTCGCATCGGGGCAAAAGCCCGCCGAATCGCATGGCCAGCGCACCTAACGATGGTCGGACGTTTCGCGGGCTTGTGCGTCACAGAGGGGCAATGGCAAGCTGACAAAGTACAAGCTGAACCGTACCGCCACGGTTTTAACGATGGCGCAATACTTGTTCGCCCGGCCTTGGTTGCGCGGTTGCACTGGCCGCTGGGCCGTGGATTAACTGGATAAGTAAACCTGCCATTTTGCCAAATCGGTTCCTACGAAATACACACCGTATTGGCTCGAAAAATGTTGCCGTGTCCTAACCTTTCGGGTGGTATTGCTGTGTACAGTACTAGACTACTGACATGCGCGGCCTTTCGACACCACAGACCGATGCCGCCTCGCCGGGCCCACCCGCGTGGCGCGTGTGCTTTGCCGGCACGGTGATGCCGCTGGCTACGGCTACGACTCGCCACGCTTGTCGACGCCGACACGACGTCGCGGCCCAGTGCCTCCTCCCTACAAGACATCTGCAGCTCCCCGACGACCACTATGCCACGCCGGCCATGGTGGATGCAGCAGTCGAGTACCGCCAACCCAAGCACATCCTGCCAAGATACGCCGATTTAATGTACCGTGTGGTGCTTGGCGCCGTCGCGATCCGCTCCCGGCTCTACTTTCTGGCCGATGACGCCCAAGTCTGTCCCGTCTGCGGCGACCTCGAGACGTACGACCATCTTCTGCTTCGTTGCGAATTTGTCACTGCGGTGTGGGCAGTCTTTCAGCCGCTCGTCGACGCCCTCGAGCTCGAACTTCCCATGACGCTTTCCGCGCTCCTCTTTGAGCCGCTGGTGACAGCCCAACGCTACCGTCGACGTGTCGTGGCCATGATGTGGCCGATCCTCCGCGCGTGCGTGCTCCATACCGTCTGGCTTGCCCGCAACGACCGAGTATTTCGCCCCGAGGCGCCCCTCGTGACGCCTGAGGCGGCCGCCCATCGAGCCGCGTTCTTGACCAAGCTGCACCTCCAACACTTGCTACTGAACACTAAGGAATTGTGCCTCTTCCAAATGATGGCTGCCCTGCGTCATGACGCATGGCTACGCGACAACTTCGTTCCGACATGTGCTCTTCACACACCACGTCTCCTGCTCGGCTAAGCCTCTCGGCCACCTCTCGGCGTAGCACCTTGGAATCGCTAGTCCACCGCCACATACAACTCAGTGAGAATTATATCTAATTAGAGTCACTTCCATAACAACATAGTCCATCGGCCGAGTCTTTCTCCCATCCATACTAGTATGCGCTTCGTCACCAGAACACTATATGTAGAGCGCATTCCTGCGAATGTCGTCTGTATCAATATATCATCTGGACGCATGGAGATAGATGGATACAAAACAGAATGCAGGTTGATCTTTCGCGGCCCTGCGGTCCAGAGCATCGACGCAAGCATAGTCCCCATAAGGTGTCCACCAACATCGACAACATCAAGGCGAGATAGCGCAGTGAGTGAGGTATCGGACGCCTTTTCGACCACGCAGAGTTGTGTCCCTCCATTTCTCCAAGCCCAACCGAATCTCGGGAGCAGCTCACGCTTGTATCGAGCCATTCGGCGTTTTTTCTACAATGCAACTTGCATGTTTGAAGTGAGTGTGTCCCCTTCAAGCGGTCCTCCCGATACGTCGCATCGGCACTTCGGCGTGGTTGGCTGGCGTCGAGGCGGTCGATGACAACGCACCGTCACCACCTACGGACAGCGCCATGATCAGCGACAATGGCGTGCATGATAAACCACACGTCTTAGAATGCTCATGCCATCTTGCGCGGTGCCGTTGTTATTGGTGCGTGCCACGCTTGCCACACATGTCGACAGTACCATGTTGTTCTTCAAGTGCCAAGAAAGGGGCGCACCGAATGCGTAACAGCGCAACGGCCACTCTCGCACACGGGTCGTTGCACGACACCCAAAATGTCTGGTCAAGGCAAGGCCCTACGAAACATCGGGTACAACGTGGTGACCAATACGCTTTTCCTATCTAGCGATTCCAGGTTCTAAATCGGTAAGATGCATCCCAGCACTCACATGTCCTGCCGTGATGGACACACCACAACCGCAACAATGTGAGATGGGTGGATAGTCAGTGGAGCTGTCAGTGGAGTAAGCCGAACGTTGGGCACAATGGGGCATGTATGGTCGCACCGCGTGTCGCGCCGACGAGTGTACATGTTGAAGTGAGTCTACTTGCATTTAGACATATTTTACACTGAGCTGTTTTTGATAATGGTCTCTTGACTCAAAGCGTGTTCCGACTGACGGCAGCGGCGAGGCTTCGCCGTCGCGAGGACGAGGCGTCGTACGGATGGTTCAGGCCGGAATGCGGTGGTCGCAAAGCCCGACGCGTGTACATGCAGCGCAACCTAAATGAACCTAGAAGGGATGACAACCTAGAAACGTACCGCGCTGTATCCAGTTGGCGATCTCTGATAACGACGACGGGACACTCAATTGGTCATGTTTGTATCAACGCATGAGAGTGTACAGCCTCAAGTTGCATGATGGCGCTCTCACTCTACCATACGAAACGGTATAGAATGGAACGAAGAGCGCGCCAGTGCCCACGTCATGGCCATAGACCGGGCTGGGCTCGGCCATGTGTGTATACTACGTATACACTGATCAACAGATGACATCGGCGGCAATGTGTACGGTGTCGAACGCATCGCGGCACAACGATGGTCTCATTTTTCAATCTTCCGTGATGAAGCTACTCCTCACGACGGCCCTCTGCGCGCTCTCGTCCTTTGTTGCTGGCGACGACAGTGGCGTCGTCCACTACGTGCGCGGCCTCGAGGTGCTGCCGGGTGACCGCGACCTCACCGAAGTCGCCGTGACGTTGCCGCCGCTTCAAGGCATCAACGATGACATTGCCAAGGACTTTCGCGACATCGCGCTCAACGGCCTCTCGCAGAACGCGACGGCGCGTGTGATCCAGCACATCCAGCAAGCCAGTGCCCCTCTCTCGGCCGACGACATCCAGCGCATTTGGACGACGGCGACGGGGCCAAGTGCGGGCAGCGCCTTCACGGGCAACCACAGCATCGCGCTCGACCACAGCATCGCGCTCGACCTCCAGAGCATTACCAAGGACGGTCTGACGCCCGAGAACGGCGATAGTCTCATGAAGAACATCAAGCAGGCCATGGAGCTCGGTCAAATCGCTGCCTCGGACGGCCCGGGCCTCCTCAACTCGATCCAAGACGTCATCAAGAACGGCGCCAACGTCAAGAACGGTGCCGACATCGTCGACCAAGTGCAGACAATCTTGAGCAAGGTCACTGGCGTGTTTGACCCGGAGCCCGTCGTGTGCCGCCGCCAAGGTGTTGGTCGCGGCGTCGGCACGGTCCTCGAAAACCAGTGCCTTCCCGGCGAGGAGGCCTGGGGCGCGCTCTGCTACCCCAAGTGCAAGGAAGGCTACGAGTCGGTCGGCTGCTGCATCTGTCGCAAGAAGGGCTGCGGCGGCGTCAAGGGGGCGACTGACATTGGTGTCTCGTGCGCCAAGCCGTCGGCCTACGGTCGTGGCTCCGGCTACGCGATCTGGAACGAAGGCAAGTGCAAGCGTGAGAACGGCCAAGGCTGCGAGAAGAACGGTGCGATGTGGTACCCGAAATGCGAGAAGGGTTTCCACAACGTCGGCTGCTGCATCTGCTCGCCCGACTGCCCCGAGGGGTTCCATGACGACGGCGCGTTCTGCCGCAAGGACCACTATGGCCGGGGCGTCGGTGTCTCGCGCCTCGGGTGCCCCAAGCATCTCGAAAAGAGCGGTCTCCTCTGCTACCCGCCGTGCGCTGCCAACCAAGTCGGCGTCGGTCCCGTGTGCTGGCCCCAGTGCGTGAACCCTGCCGGCACCGACTGTGGCCTCTTCTGTACATCCAGCGTCGCCACGTGCGTCAACACCGTCGTCGACATTGTTGGCCAATCGGCCAAGGTGACGCTCAGCTTGGTGGCCCAGGACTACACTGGCGCGATCAAGACCGCCGTCCAGACGGGCGGCAAATACATCAGCTTGGACAAGTGCCCCAAGTAGAGTCAAGCATCACTCGAGTTGTCGAGGACAATCTTGTCGTTCTGTTAACCCATTGAATGTAGACGGGTTGTAACGAGTGAACTCATTTGGATTGTTTGTTGTCGCTTGTTGAAATGCATCATCCACCCGTCATTGTTGTAGCAATGCCATAAATTGTACATGACCTTGGTGTTAGCTTTACTTATGACCTCAATTGCGCCAAGTCCAGATGCAATAAGTTCCAGTGTACTAACGTTAGTACGTTAGATCGTACCGGTAGTCTTATTAGTTGCACATGAGCTCCTAGACTGACGTTAGCTTTCATTTGGTTCGTCAGATATGTTTGTGATTAGCCATTCGTCTTCATTCATAAACGAGCACTCGCCGTTGGCATGATGAAAGAAGAGACGGCGGGTGATTCCGCGTTGCATCAGCGTTCGAGGCGTCGAGCCATCGGCGAGCCTCTTGCTTTTGGTACAACACCACATGTGCGACCTTGCCGTCAACGACCGAGTCGGCGCGACACATTCCTTGTCAGCTCCACTAGGACAGTGTCTTTCGTGCGCGCTTGAGCTACGACAGTGCTGTCGTAGGTAGTTCAATGCAACTGTGAATCGGACTCTTGATAACGCTGTATAAGCCGCTTTGCTGGATCGCATGGATGGACGACACGCCACCCACGTCATCATGCCACGTCCTCGTACACGGAGTAAATACTTGTACGTACTTCACGTGCTATGGAATCGACTCGTCGCCCACGGCCGTGGTGCAGCGGCGTCACTAACGACAGGACGCCTCGGTCAACACCCAAACGCCCTTGGTCAACATATATAGACGGCATGCTGCTGGCATCGACATTCAGACGAGCGTTCGACCTGCAGCATGGACAGCACCGCTGTGTAGAGCGACCACACAACGTAGCGTGATCAACGATAACGTCCATGCGTTGACTTGACACCCGCGACAACAAATCCATCGAAAAGCATGCAAAACCACAGCCTACCTCCCACGTTGTTCGCATTGACGGAGCGCGGGATCTCGTTCCTGACGCAACCACCACGTGGTCCAATCGCCTTGGTTGGTCCGTCGTCGCTGTCGTTACCGACCTTTCTCCATGCAGCGCATCGTCGGTATACGAACCTTCCGATGGACTACTCATGTTCGCTCGACGCCATTGTGGCATGAGTAGTTGATGTCGATCTATTTAGGTCGTGTTGGCACAGCCCACGCTGGTACGATGGCGCGCCACCTTGAAGTTCAACCAGCTTATCGGGTCGCCGTGGGTACAAGCCGCCACATGTTTCAACATCATCCGAGATTGCTTTTGTCGACGGCTTCGCAATATCGTACCCGGTACTTGTACGTGCGCCTGACGCAAACAATCTAATGAATGAATGCAGTGATTCAACCACTCTCATCGGCTTCTAGACTCCTAACCTCCTAACCTAATAGTCTTGTCGTGTCGACGACGTTTGCCAGTGACGCCCTCGTTGCGCGCGGTCGGACACATCGCATCATCCGCCCCAAATCCATTTTTCTGGTCAGGAACGCAAGGTTCCGAACAGGATCGAACACCGTAGATACGCTATGTTGTGGCGGACACGCCGCCTTCATCATGGGTGCACGTGGCGCTGCATCGAGCCGTCTGCTCCTTTCTCGACGCTGGAGGTGCGCCATTGAGGGTCTATCCGTCCAGTCCATATACGGTTCCTAGTACTATCGAACGAGCACAGGAGCCACTCGGTCGGTTCGGCGCTCCGAGGCCTCGCCGCCGACTGGTCGCCACCTTCCTCGTCTCAGAGCGCCAACTTCAAGTATACCCGGATGGCAACTACCTTGCACCCTGTATTATATACAAACATCAAGATACACCTTGATTTCTGGGCGTCGACCGCTGACGAACGGCGCCACTTTGCAATATTAGTCGTGCTTCCGATTCCAGACCGAGTATGCAGTGCTACTGGCTCCTCATCGCCCTCGTCACCGCCACCGCCCTTGCCTCGGACGCCGACGCGCAGCTCTCGACCCTCCTCGACGACGTCAAGCAGTGGCGAGAGCTCCACCCGGCTCGCTTCGACCCGCCGGACGCCATTGTGACCAACGCCTCGACGACGACGACGGCACTGACGATGCAGAATGACTGGACGCTCACGGCAGTCCTCGGCGCGATCCTCTCGGGTCTGGTCAGCGGCTTGGCAAGCCGGCTCTTCTTGCGCATGGGGCGCTGGAGCATCGGCCGCGCGCTTTACCTCTGGAAAACAGGGCTGCCATCGACCAACGAACAGTAAAACGCGTCTGCTAATATCAAAGCTATCTATTCGACTGAGGTATAGTCGCTCGTTGGGTGCCGGGACGTCGTTGCCAGCAGCAAAGCCACCCAACCACCGATCCCTCACTGGCATCAGCGGTGTCACACGGTGCCGGTGGTGTCGGTGGTGCTGGGACCTCGAGTGGCAAGTGCCATCGATGATAGTACTCGGTGAGCGCATCGTTGGCGGCGCGCAAGGCGTCCGAAGGGCCTTCTTTTGTGAGCCATTTCACGCGCATTTTGAGGAGCGTTCGGGCCGGTGGCTCGGCGGGCAAGAGCACTGAGCGCTCGCAGTCGAGGCACTCGGTCACGAACTCGTGGCACGAGGCGCAGACAACGCCGAGGTTGATCGTGCAGCCGGGGCAGATGTACGTGATTCCCTCGAGCATCGGTAGCTCGCACGCCAAGCACGTCGTCAAGCCCCAGCCTTCATGGAGCAGCTCCGTTCGCTCAAAGTTTACCACGAGGGCTTGAATGCACGCGAGACTTGGCCAGAGGTCGCCCGTGTGTCGCGCCCAGTAGAGGTTCCAGACGCACCCCGGGAGCTGATCTTTGGCGTCGGTCTGAAGGAACCCGTCGATCGCAGCCTCCCAAGCGTCGATCGCCAGCGCGCACTCGCCAACCTTTTCATAGGCTAACGCCATAACACGCTGGGCTACAC